AAAAAGCTGAACTAAACTAGCTTAGTTAGTATACTGAATATAGCTAGTCAACGTTTTATAAGATGGCTGCCCTTAGAAAGCCTTCGACTCGACCAGGTTGAGCTGCATCGTTCGCAATAGATGACTCCAGCTAAAATTATACTAAATTTTGATGTAGGCAACAAGAACGAAATCCATCGCCACAGCTAGATAGAGCATCTTAAAATGAGTAAAATTGCAAAGTTTGGTTGCGAAATGTTGTAAAATGCGGAAAATATAGCCCTGCGAAATTTGCAAATTTTGTATTAGGCTTTATTTTCCGCATTTTACAACATTTCGCAACCAAACTTTGCAATTTTACTCATTTTAAGATGCTCTCTATAGCTGTGGTAATGGATTTTGTTTTTCTTGCCTAGATCAAGAAGTCTATAGCTGGTAACATCCATTCGGTTCAGCTCTCAACTGCAAGTAAGGATACTATATTGGCACTCTTTAATGAATGGCAAATGTGTTAACTATGGCAAATATATTAATACATGAACTATATGTTATACACCAACACTAATTTTGAATTACATGACTTTTGGGGGAACTCGAAACATCACTTTGTCAAAATGTCTTCAAACTGAAGATCTTATAGTGAGTTCTTTGTATTCTTAATCACTTCCAAAGCGACATTCTTTAAGGTGACCGATTCCAGCCCACGCACAGTGTAGCTCTTTATATCACTTTCAAAAACCGATTCAAAATTTATCATTACATATTGTTCTTCATATAAATACATCACAGAGACCCAATAATTGTATAAAATTGCTTTACAAAACACGCGCGTGTTAAAGTATCATTAACTTGGTTTGAAATTTGAGTTATTTTGCGATCATGAAATTCCCATATAGTCGGGATTCAGTTAGCATCAAAGGAACAAAGTAGATTTAAATTGCTACTGAAAGGAGTGCCCGGCTCACTTGGGGGACGCTCGTTGCTGATCTTATCGTAATTAAAGTGTCCTAAATTGCCTCAGAAAATAGCCGCTTCTGCCAGAAAAAAACGCACGAAAACGTCAAACAAATAACGGAACTCATCTCAAACGGAAAACATCCTTACAACACAGAAGTTGTCTTCAAGATTACAAATTAAAAACTTCAAAAGAACGTTTTATAAGCTTCCTGAGTTCCCTATTTCGTTTGTTATGAAGAGCAAAGTCAACCAAGCGAGCAGTGCACTTTAGACCACGCTAAAACCTGTTTCGAGTTTCTCTCCTTTTCACCGGTTAAAATTGATCCGTTTAGGTCAAACGTCTTCCAACAACGACATTACATTGTAATGATGGTGTTTTCCACAAAGAAAACCCTGTTTCACAATAAGTAATTATTTCGTGTTCAATAGCAATGCAATCAAATGTTTTCGAAATCGTTGTTTGAAATTGGAATCTAAAGAATTATAACCGCATTACACAAAAGGGTTTGTTTTGGTTTATATTAACAGCGGTCTCTGGGATCGCCGATGTCGTGCTGGGCACAGTGTCATACCGTTATCACACAGGGATATCATAGCTATAACTGTTCAACACCGCGGTGTATTTGGCTGGCGACCCTGACATTTGCCAACTCATCAATTTGCTGGCATCTTATATATTGGCTTTTATGTTCGGTGCTCTATTGGATTTGCCCTTGAGCAAAGTTAAATTTAGGGAATAATTTATGCATTGAGGCCAAGGGCAAAGTGGTTTAGTTTTGAAAGGAAAGCCGCGTTTTTGCTTAGAAAGCCGGGGCAGGCTTGAACACGTTTGCGAGGCGAAGAGGATGAGGCTTGAATTTGTGCATAGCTCTATCCAGTCTTAAACTGTCCTACCTAGAGGTGCAGTAAGGATCATCTCTTATTGATCCAATGTTACTACTGGAGGAAACCTAAACTAACTTTATTTATACTGGATATAGCTCTATCAGTTCTAAACTGTTCTTCCTAGAGGTCCAGTAAGAATCATCTCTTATTGATCCAATGTTACTACTGGAGGAAACCTAAACTAATATTATTTATACTGGATATATTAGCTCTATCAGTTCTAAACTGTTCTTCCTAGAGGTCCAGTAAGGATCATCTCTTATTGATCCAGTGTTACTACAGGAGGAAACCTAAACTAACTTTACTTATACTGGATAGCTCTATCAGTTCTAAACTGTTCTTTCTAGAGGTCCAGTAAGGATCATCTCTTATTGATCCAGTGTTACTACAGGAGGAAACCTAAACTAACTTTATTTATACTGGATAGCTCTATCAGTTCTAAACTGTTCTTCCTAGAGGTCCAATAAGGATCATCTCTTATTGACCCAGTGTTACTACAGGAGGAAACCTAAACTAAACTAATTTTATATATACTGGATAGTTCTATCAGTTCTAAACTGTTCTTCCTAGAGGTCCAGTAAGGATCATCTCGTATTGATTCAGTGTATACTTATACAGCAGGAAACCTAAACTATAACTATATTTATACTGGATAGCTGTATCAGTTCTATAAAATATTCCGTCTAGAGCCTTTCTAGAGGTACAATAAACCATTCGTAATGTACTTGTCCTAGTTTTACTACGAGGAAACTTATAATCCAAGCTGACTGCATGGAAGCGTTTGTGTACACAGCTCATTCAAAAAAGGTTGTCGTTTGCAAATCTTAAACTCTAAACCTTAAACCTTAAACCTTAAACTCTAAGTGCGCAAAGCATTATGGGAGTACAAGTTTCAAGCTTAGTAGTTGAATATTGCAACTATTTGTAAATGAATTGTTCTCGTAAGGAGATATTTACCATGTCTCAAAGAACTGGGCCTCATATATAGGGAGAAACTTTATTCAAACAAATACCAATAATGGTACATTGCATACCTACATATACATTGTGTTACCACATGACATTAGGTAATGTTGATATTTGCTGTCAGTGTTGGTGTAATGTACTCAGGTGAATAAGATGCTTGTGTGATGTTACTCTGAGTGTATATCCACACCGGGCAGGCTTGAGCTTGGGCTAGTATTCCAAAGGTCGTAGGTTCCATTCCCACCGTGGCCAGGCATATGTTTCAAGCCTGCCCGGTGTGGATATACACTCAGAGTAACATCACACAAGCATATTAGGTAATGTTGTTCATTTTCATATACGATTTCTAAACTGATTAAATGATACTCCCATTATGCTTTGCACGCTTAGAGTTTAAGGTTTAGAGTTTAAGATTCTGTGGTTTAAGGTTTGCAAAGGACGACCTTTTTTGAATTAGCTATATATGATAGTAAAATCAATGCAAATAGCAGAAATTTTGTATTTCATTTTATGATTTACTTATATATACTTTCATAATTTGTGTTGTTATTTCGCACGTAAGTAACTAGTGATTATTGTAATATAGATCCATATACCCCATGCTGATGAAATCGCACTATGCTGTATCATAATTTTATACATAATTTTTATTAGCCTACGAAATTTATTACCATTATACAATTATCAGTTCAGTAAAACCTTGCAGTATTAAAAACTGAATTACAGATATGAAATCTATATGCAACTATTTCAATCAAGGTGGTCAAAACCGTCGACCAGTCGTCCTCTAAGCGCGAGATGCACAATGGGCGTGTTTATTATTCTGAGATTGTTTATGCATGCATGTTAGCACGATCTAGTTGTTATATTTTGCTGATTAACGATAGTATATGTCTAATATGTATATACAAATATTCAATATACTTCCAGGACAGAAATATACACTCTCAAACTCATTAATAATTCATGAGTAAATTAGCCAACCATATTGCTTTATTTTGCTCACATGATAATACTCATGGATACCTACCTGATGAAGTATATTGATCCAGTCCTAGCCCCTAGGACTGCATGGATCAAAATTAATTCAGTCCTTGGACTGGATATTTCAAATCCTAGTTCAATTCGGACTGGACTAGATTCAGTGCTTCCATTTTCAAAAAAACACAATTTCCTTCCAACCGTTCAAAATTTCCTTATTTTTGAAAAAATTTCCTTGCAGTAAAAATTATTGAATTTTACCTAATTTAAAACTGATTTTATAGTAATTTATCTCGAATAACCGGGTATTTCTTGTTCTAGAAGGCACATAGACGTTGCACGAGCTGAATTATCAAAGGGGAGAGTCAAAGAGTTTACCTAGATTAACACGAAGGAGAATAAGCAGGGGGGTCTGTCTGGGGGTCCTCCCCCAGAAAATTTTCAGATTTTGCACCTCGCAGAACAGGATTTTCAGCATATTTTGAAGCGCATTTCTTTGGAAATTGCCGTATTCTTAGGATTTTTTAGAAATAAGGCAATTTCCTTCACATTTCCTTCAATCTTCCGAAATTTCCTTCAAATTTCCTTCAGATTCGAATTTCCTATACAGGTTCTTATGTAAATGGTGCTTACCAGGAAATTAGGCTAAACAGGTTCTTAAATAGGTTCTTATTTTCTCAAGAGAAAAGCGACTCATTTTAGGGAGGTACGGTATATGAGTGATTTAATTATATAAATTATGCACAAATGATCTAAAAAATGACAGTATATGCACTATTATATACCAACCCTATATGCACTTCAAAGCTACACTGATTGTAACTTATGACTTAATTTTGACTCTATTCGATCATTAAGGATCTGTTTTGAAATTCTAGTCTGAACAGCTTCTTATTTTAAAGGGGTATAAATAAAATATTTTAGCCTAAAAGGTTTTTAAATTCTAGGTTGTTATATGCGGGGTTTTACTGTATAAGCATTGAAAATACAATTGAATATACATTTCAATATACTATAGTTATAATATAAAAGTAATTAGTAATTTAAATGATTCACTGACAAACTACAGGATTCTCAGCATAGAACATATACTAATGTTCAACCCCCCCCCCCCC